TATATATATATAACAAAAGAATTAAATAATAATCTGCTATTACGAATGACGGCGCACTTTGCAAAATACGAGCATAATTAATGCGAGATATCTAATTACATCTTCCACTGTTTCTTTTCTTGTTAGTAAGACTTTTATTCTCCTAGAAAAATCACATAAGAAAAATTTTTATTAATTCTAACACTGTGCACGAGGAACGCAGCACAATGATTATCTTTAAATGATATCACGCCGTCAAATCCGTTAACGCGGCCCTCTTATACATTGTTCTTTCTCGTCAATCCTCGTGCATAGTCCTCCGTTCCGAGGCGAGGGTCCTAAAGGGACCCTCGTCGGAGCCCTAGGTACGCGCCGCTCTGCCAGCGACGCGAGCTCACCTGCGAAGTGCTCATGGTAGCCTTCAGGAGTGCACACTGAGATTGAATCGTACCAATCAGCGGCATATATACCGACACTTTCGCCCACTGCTCGCTGGCCCACTCCACGGAAAATCGCGCTCGTCCGCGTCGGTCTTTCTTTAAGGTGAACAGACCGACACCGCGCTGTAAGCCGTTTTCCCACGGGCTATCCGCCCCAGCGTGGCTGATTACTGCCGGATGCCCGGATACGGGCGGCGTAACATCGCCGCCCCGTCGTTCCAGGCTGTTCCAATCGCTATTCCCCTCGCCAAGGAAGAATCGCAATTTCAGAGTTTGCTATCGATTCGACTTTTCTTTCGCGAGCCTCTCGATTTAATTCGCGACTTTCTTTCCTTCTTTCTTTCTTTCACTTTGACGGGGGAAAAACATCACGGACATTTGCTCTTTTTTTGCCCATGCCTCGTGAATTTTACCGGATATAACGGCGGTCGTAGCTCCCAATGCGTTACGCAACGCAGAACTAGTTGCCTTAAGCAGAGATAATTAGGAAACTCAATGACGTATATAACCGAACAGATAAGAAATACATTATCTAATGTACCTTTACTAACTATGACTCTCATAAGAGGCAAGAAAATATTTTTCTAAAAATGTTTTTAAAAATTATTTAATAATTGTTTGTAATATTATAATTATAATAAAAACTTCATCGAGAGGCCATAAAATACATAGACGTAACAGCCTGTCCTTAGATGACTTGTAATGCTTATGCTTTCGCCTGAGAAATAAGTGGATGATAATGTGACGGAGGACGTTCGACTTAAATCTGACGTCATCACATAATCGCCCATGATAGAGATCTTAAATGTAATTCTACGATCTCATCGGCACGTTTTCTTCGAGAAATGGTTTAGTAGCACTCACAGAACTCCTCTCAAACGCCTTAGGAGACATAACTCCTATCGATACACTCGATTCACTCGAGCAATTAACCGCTACGACTCGGAAAAGACTCTTTGATAACGCATAACTCTTGCGAAAATTAAATCACATTAAGATATCGAAATCTTCCTTAATTAATACATGACTGGTGGGTTTTACGAGTCACCTCGTGGCTCGTAAAATCTAATTAAATGACAAAATTCATACAGTGTGAAATGATAATGCGCATGCCAGACGATGTGACGATTAGACTTTCTCCGTGTGTCGCGGACACGCGCGCATATTTTGTATCCCGGCATCATGCTTGATGTCCGTTTAATTAAAAAGTAAATTCGCAATGCGCGAAGGAAGTTGTTAAAGTTAAAGTATTACAACGCTTGGCAATAATGCGGTCGATGTTGCACACGTTGATGGTCGTGAAAATTTTCGTTTCAACACACTCACTCATGAGGTAATCAACGCGCTATTGTTGTCTTTTAAATTATCTTTTCGTCAAGTTTTACATTTTGTAATATTTCATATAAATACATTTATATAAAAGAATCGAAAGTTTTTCGATTGTCAATCAATCAACCGTGTCGTTAATAACGTAATCATATGTGAATCATCTAATGTCGAAATAAAACCGATATCTTTCTCATTTTTTTGACACTCGATTCTAATATACCGTTATTGGGTTTTAAAAAGACATATGCCACTGCTTAAAGTCATTCACGCGTAGCAACTTTTTATTAAAACCACTTTCATAATCGATTCACATGAATACTTTAGCATTAAATGTAACTTACTTGTATCATTCCCACGTGGCATTTTATTGGCCGCTAAAATAAACCAACGGAATTCTAAATAAACACGTTAAATAACGTCTTTGCAAAAGTCTCACTTATATAATATTTCGTATTAAATAATTATAACGCAATTATATGTGTGTGTGTTTTGTTTAATAAACTTGTGTAATGATCATATAATTATAAGCCATATGAAGCGCAATACGCATATTAGATAAATATTCATATCTCGCTTAAACTATCACAAAGTTTCAATACACGGCAAGCATTTGCATTATTCAGTAAACAATTGTTCCATGTATCGGTCAGTACGGATTTCGTTTAATGAGGATATGCTCATTACAAATTCATTTAATCGAGTTGAACTTTTATTTAATATATTGAACTCTTGACCAAAATGCATGTAATTAAATAAATATAATATATATTGCATATAATGTGGTAATCTTTACCTCTCTCTCTTTCTTTTTCTCTATCATTAGTTATTGTGAAATCATAGTCCATTTTAAATATGTACCACTTTGCTTACTCACATAATCGATTTAATCTTCTTGCTAAGCTGCATAATTTATTAATAATTTAAATATTAAATAAACAACATAATACAATATAAACTATAACACCTGTGCAATATATGTTTCTCTATACTTTAATTTACTAAAAAAAGATACGAGTAAAAGAGAGAGTCGCGGATATAAATTTCTCAATAAATCATTTTTTTTGTGCGGTACAATCTTTCTCAATCCAAATCAAATTTACTTATAATGTTATTTTAAAACGTCTATAATTTATGCAATCAATTTTTACTTATAGCTTTTTAAATAGTTTATTTTAATGATTAAATTATTTCTAAGAGTGTGTAATAAACAAATACTTCTATTAATGTATGTATGATTTGAAACTTAAAATAAAAGCAAAAATTTAAGATATCCCAAAGGCTATAATTATGTATAAAGTTACCGTGTATATTTTTTAATTATGTTACCGTCACACGCGCAGTGAGAAAAATCAATTCAAACATAAGCAAATATGAAAATTTATATAATTAATCTCCATCAATAAACACGCAAGGCATAAACATCCGCACTTTCGAAGGAACTAAAATCGCGATACTATTTAGAGAAAGAGAGAGAAAAAGAAAGAGCTTGAAGCCTCTTTCATCTCTGTAGAACGCAAATTATGTTTATGTTTGAAGGGCCGGAGATGTTTCAGAAGCGGAAAGGACGTAACTAGAAAACGGCTTGATAAACACCTTGAGCGAGAACATCTATCCATATATTCATGAGAGCCGCGGTCTGGCCGACACCAAAGCCTTTCCCATTATTGCATAAGGTTACACTTTGCGGTCGGTGAAGCAGAAATGCAGACTACGCGAAAATCCTGTCGACGACTGTCATCGTCGTAGACAGTGCGCGAAAATTCGTCGGTGAACTTAGGGAGTATTTATGGCCACCTCGTTGTCACTCTCCCTCAATCATATAAAAAGTTTAAGCAACTTGAATGCCAAAAAAATACTTCGAGAAAGATAAGAATCGCAAATTGAAAGTTTACTTTGCGGCCTCGGGACGTTGTGGTTTTCTGCAACCGCGATCAATTTGCGTTTTACGCGAACGAGACCACCTGTCGGAAAAAAATACCATGCTGATTAAATTAATAACGCGTTGACCCGTACACTTTTCTAATAAACTCTGCCGGGGAGAAAAGGGATACGCAGATATTTAAGTTGACATTAGGCGCAGGTGCTCGCGTGCAAAGGAATAATTTGCATACGGTGTACACAAGAGCTCGGCTTACTCCGTCATACGAGATCAAAAGCGGTTTTCGTGGTTTCGCGAAAAAGCACTTCTAAAAGACATTAGCGATAGGAAGCGCGATGTGTCAAAATTTACATAATTTTGATCTGCATAAATATGAAGAAATTGGTAGAAAGTATATGATTGCCGATATTGCCACCTTCAATACAAGCGTGCATCGTATGCATTGTGTCCAGCAATAAAGATAATCGGCCAGTTCACTTCGCAAAGTTCCGCATACGTAATGTTACGAAGTCACTGCAATCGGTCGAACAGAAAAGAAAAAAAAATAATAATAAAGGCTGAAGTTTTCACCGCCGCTATAGATTTAATCTGGTATTCTTATAGCGGCCTGTGAAAACAGCTTCCTGATATTATTTCTACTGCAGAGAAACTTTCGAGCGAATAACTTCGCAATTAAAATCATGCGGCTCGCATACGCGTAATTTCGAACATAATAACACTTCGCGCAAAGCACTTATGACACAATAAGAATACACAGAAAAGTTTAATTTGGGAAAGACAACTAACGCCTTATGAGAGCATCCATACAATACATCTATTCCTGGACGAACAAGAACATCAAAAACAAATATTGAACCGTTGCGTTTAACATTAATATATTCAATACGCACCAAAGTATATAATACAATGTTACATCAATGATACTTACTTATTTAATTATTAACGTAAAATAAATGTATTACATATTATTATATTATTAACATAAAATTAGCATGCTCATGCGATATATTAATGTATTAGTTATATAATGTATTAATTGAATATTATGAATAATAATTAATTATATAAATTTATTACATGTATTTATATAGATATATCGCGATATGTTAACAATACATCGCAAAAAGTTACATAAACTTTAACGTGCCTAATTAAAACTTTATATCACGACACACTAAGTTTTTTAATCAATAATTATTGATCAACTTACACGGATATATTGTCACTGCTCGATGAAAATGCGCGGCAGAGAGTTAGTTTAAAGTAGAAACGACCGCAGAAAATAAGCCATCCCGGGATCCTAGCGAGTGTAATTAGTTTTAAATTCAATGAACGTAAGACTCTCGCGGCTTTAGCAATTAATAGATTGCCGCCACACGCTCGCACAACGGCTAATTAGATAGAAGTGAAGTTCCAGTTCATTACTGTTCGCTGCTACGTATTTTTTTGATATCGATTTTTACTATTGTTCAATACTGTACATACAATCTATATGATCTTTCAAGAATATTTTTCGAAGTAAATATATTGAAAGAAAAGCAATTTTTTTCCAATAAATTACTATCGAGGGATGATCCCCTATAATAAAACTCTTGATTTGCAAGAAAGTTGACATCTCTGATACATTCGAAACTGTCAATTGTCAGCTTTTGGAATATTGTGTCGGCAAGCAACAGCGCGAGTAGATTGCGGTCTCCAGTGAATCACTATAAATTCATCGAAAACAATTTAATCGCAGAGTATAGGTCAAGTGGAAGCCATCGCATACATCGTTCCCCCGATTTTCGTTGCGGGTTGATCGACAACCAATCGGAAGGTATATAGGGATCGTTTGGCCTTTCGAAACATGCTTCTATCTAAAGCTAGGAGTCAAATCAATATTTTCGGATTCAAATATGGAAATACAAATTCAGATGTATGGAAATTTATTCGTGCCGATAACTCTGATAAACCATGGATACGCGAATATTCCAACACCCTTCGAACCAGCCGAGATCGAGGTACAAAGTCATTTCGAGATTAACTGTACCCGCGGGAACTACGTGCGATAAACCAAAAATCATGCCGTTGTTATATATCGAGCGGCACCGAGTTTCTACATTCGCGGCAAAAACCATTTTTGACATGCATGAATTTTGTCCGATTGCGTTAACGAGTTTCAACAACTTCCTAAAGTGGCAGCGACGATGATAGTGGCGATCAGCGTCTTCAAATCATTCTTTTTAATTTCATAGCCTGTGACGAAACTATCTTCCTCTCAGCAACAAATATCACGGCGCACGAAATTGTAGGAAAGAGATAACATCCTGATTGAACAAGCTATGAGCATAAAAATGAGGCAAATATATTAAATTTGAAAGAGAGAGAGAGATCGAAAAAAAGTTGATACCAAATGTAAATGCGTTCGTATATTTGGACGGTGTATGAAAAGAAAAAAAGCGAATAAAGAAAAGCACTTTCGTGTCATCAAAAAATTCCAATTCTCTGCCTCTTAAATTAATTAAGCTCTAAATATTGATGAAGCTCTCGGCTAACACAGAAACACAGAAAAGCAATGTCAATCAAACCAAATTAATAGAAAATCAATCTTAAAATTGCATTATTTATCGCTGTAAATCATTTCAATGCATTAACTTGTTTTATAATTAAGAGATTTTTGATTATCCATAAATGTAAAATACATTAATAAATTTTATGAAATCATAAATTAATTAGAATTTTAAGAGTCATATAAAAAATTGTTTGCAAACATACGAAAAATAATTAAATAAGCAAACATACGAAAAATAATTAAATATGCTTTGTATTTTAAGTTCATATTTTATTCATAAAAGAGAAAGCATCTGATAAAAATAGCACATATATTTATGTTAGTAATTAATCTTAAAATATACTAATTTTTTATATAAATAATGTGTGCTTTCTCAAGTTTTAAAATATATAAAGCAAAGATATATTTAATTGAATAAGAGTATATTTAATATTGAAAACTTGAAACTGAAAGATTTTTGATCAATGATAAATTATTTATATATGTATATCTTTATCTACTTATATACACTGAATAGAAATTTAATATCACACAATTGTAGCGAATAATTCGAATTTTTTCCGCTTTGCGTCGCAAAAATGCGTTTCTATCCAGAGTCAAACGAACTCGAAAACGCGACAAAACAGTCCAGAAAAAAACAAAGGGAAAACTGACGCGAAGACAAAGGCAGACGGAGAAAAGCGTCGCCCACGACGGCGCGTTGTCTTCCTCTTCTCCTGTTGACTTCCTACCCGCCGACAATTTCATCGGCACGCTCGAGTTGCCCAGCGGGCAGAGCGTTGCGTCCCCTATAAAAGCGAGGGTAGACGATAGCGGTACCAGTGTGTGCTCACTGCCGACCAACATGAACAGCACCGACAAACTGAAAGTGAGTAGTTCCAGTAAGATAGCCATTCGAATCACCGCTTGTAGAAGCACGAGCCGTACAGGTCGAATCGTGCAACGGGCTGCAGTCTCTTACATATTTCTAAGGGCAATGACCCGTTTCCTACTAGAAGTAATGATTAGTCTTTGAGGCAAATTTTTACTTGCGGATTTCTACATAATACGACAGTCGAAATTATTAAATGTTCTCTACATGCTCATTGCTTTCGAAAATATTGTCGGGATTTATTAGACAATTTTTCATCTCCAAAAATTTCAGCAGAATTATACAGCACAATTACATCCGCTCACAATTTATATAATAATAGTTATATTTTACTTAAAATTTTGAATCATTTTAAAAGTATACATTCTTTAATCTGACAATTTTTAAAAATAGATTTAATGCTCTTGTCATTAAAAATTTTCTGCTAAACTAATATTATAATTAGACAAAGTTATTAAATTAATTGGTACATATATATATTTTCATTCTACAAAGCAAATTCGGATAAATCGTCGATGCAAGATATACAACGAGGCCTCTCTAAAATCTCGCATTAGCAAAACAAGTTGCAATGAAGCCTATGCATGTCGCATGACGCTGTATCTCGCACTTTGAATAATATAAATTCTAAGATCATGTTCATCGTACGATCTACAAATTCAAGGACAATTGTGTTTCTTTGCTTCCGGCAGGTAATACTCTTATGCGGCCTAGTATTATCGGTCGTAGCTGAAAAGGCAAAGACCGAAGAGGCAAAGAAGACCGAGTCTAGCGTTCAGCCAAAGGATGAAAAGACAAAGCGCGGATTGGAACTGAGCCTGGGTGATCACGGTGGTTTCGGGGGCGGTGATTTCGGCGGGGGTGGTTTCGGCGGCGGTGGTTTCGGCGGCGGTCATGGCGAGATAATCTCCACCGATCACATCAAAGCGGTGACAGTCACGAAGCATGTACCGGTGCCGCATCCGTATCCGGTGGAGGTCACGAAGCATGTGCCCTACCCGGTGAAGGTGCCGGTCAAAGTACCCGTTGACCGTCCGTATCCAGTCCACGTACCGCAACCTTACCCGGTGGAGGTCACGAAGCACGTGCCCTATCCGGTAGAGAAACCGGTGCCCTATCCCGTCAAGGTGCCCATAAAGGTGCCCGTCAAGGTGCCCTATCCAGTCAAGGTGCCCGTCAAGGTTCCGGTCGAAATATCAAAACCAGTTCCCTATCCCGTCAAGGTACCCGTGGTCGTCAAAGAACCCTATCCCGTGGTCGTTAAAGGTCATGACGAAGGCGGCTACGGTGGCGGCTACGGCGGCGGATTTGGTGGCGGATTCGGTGGCGGACACGACTTCGGCGGCGGTTTGGAACTCAGCAGTGATTTCGGCGGATACGAGCATCATTGAGACAAAGTTGACGCAGGAAGGAAACAAGGACTCGCGTCGTTGGTCGTCCCCTTTTGTCTAATGGCGAACGGCTCGTGCGGCGCGAGACGAGGAAGCTTTATTCGAGGAATCGATCGTCGAGAGAGATCAAGGAGCGACCGACAAAGAACGATTATGTTCCAATAAAAAAACTGACACGACGGATCAATATTCTATTTTATTGTGATCCTATCTTCGGATTGTACTATACACCCTGTAAATGTAAACACGAATAAAGTATTCTTTTGTACGTAACGATTGCTTACGAAACTGCTATATGATGTCGGGAGAGCATGAGGGAAGGCTTAAAGGCGACGGGGAGATGTATTAATCTGACACGTTATGCGATTATGAAGAATTGCAGTGGAACTTTCACTTCGTTCATATTACGCGAGTTGCGCTAAGAGAATACACCTGTTTTACCGTAAACGGTGTATGTACCATTAGAAAAACACAAGCGTAGGGATCGTTAAAGTAAACGGCATATTCAATACGAGAGGGATAAGCGTAAGAAGTAAATGTCAGAGCGTGCGAAAATTGCGCGGCGGAGCGATAAATATTCCCTCTTGCGAATGTCCTCTCGCCTCTCTCTTTAAATTAATCATTGCTTTCGACACACGCATCACGCGCCACCATGCATGACGTATGCGTATCTTGCGCCATAAGGATTCGGCCAACGATCGTTAAGTCGCCAACTGCGTCGTTTGATTTTTCAGGGCTGCACCGATAGTTTGTGAAACGTAATGAGAAACGTGTGTGTAAAAATCGCGAAAGGGGTTGCCAAACACCATGCGATTTCGACATATCGTCGCTTACGCACTGCCTTACGACACTTATTTAATACTATCAGAATTTATCGACTGAAATATTCGTATAACGGTGTCTTAGATAGTTGTTTTGCACAAATTGTTTTGATCTAATTATGCGGTGTGTACATAAATTATATACAAACGACAGTAAATCAATTATATCCTTACAGTGTAGAATTTCCCAATTTAATTGATCGCTAATCTAACTGGGGATAATTCTATGTTAAATGTAACTGAATCCAAACGTCGTGCACTCAAAAAAATGTCTTGCTGATATAGGTAGATTTCTAGGTGTCACAACAAAAATTTATCGCTATTTTTTGTATCTGTTAGAATATTGTCTGTTACATATAGAATTTATAGCAGCAACATTCTAATAATATCTTCTAGAAAATTTAGGTCCCATTGCCAAATGTTAATCACTGCATTGGATAAATATGAGTTTCGATACTACAGAACGATCTTTGTGAGAAATATAACTGCCAATTATAACTGCAGCATCGAAAAATTGAGAAAAATTGTTTAAAAGAGCTAGATAGATTGAGCGCGTTATACAAATATGTTAGACGTGAGGATTATATATTCATTTGTTTCTTGCCGCTAATTTTTTCTGTCTACCACAGCCAAACTTTATAACAAGTATGATTGGCCTTAACATGGATAGGCGCCACAGAAAAACATTCTTTCTAAATTTCACAAACAGTTCAGATATAAATTCTGTCTCTGTCACTTAGATTGATTAAATGCGAAACATATGCGATATCACAGTATTTGCTAATCATTTATGTACCTCAGTTAATTTTGCGCACCCAGAAAATTTTTGCTGTAGTTGCAATACCACTTTTTTGAGTGTGTCGACATCAAGATCAATAGACTTTCTCATATTTTTTTCCCCTTGCTTCTGTAAAAGTTTCGCACGCACGCGAATAATGTCGCCAATGCACTCGCTTTCGCGATACCAAGTTTGTACCAGATCGAACTTTCCTTTCGTATTATGCGATACAATACACAGCGCATACAGCGTCCATCTTATAGCTAGATAACTATGGTAATAGAACGCAAACCTAATTGCCTCCCACGGTAATAGACCTGTACCTTGGCTATACAAGTTCCTCCGACTACATACATCTTAGGCACCATTATGCACGATCCATTCTGCGGCGGCATGACTCGTCCCGACGATAGGATGTCTCGTTAATACATGGTTACCGCGTAAACCGAGCCGGCCCGAGAGATACGAGACACACGAGAGACATTTACCCCCGTCGTCGTCTTCGTTGTCGGCTTGTTCTCTCGCGGGTCTCTTCCTTTTCCCTGGCGTCTTACTTTCGTTGCGGTTCCGATAGCATACGATCGGATAGCAGCATCGTTTCGCCATACACACACACACTCTGGATTCATTTCCGCGTGCTGAGTTCGCTTCCGTCGCGCGTGCTAAACTAGAAATTGAAAGCGGCGGGTCGTAAACAATTCACGATCTTAACATACAGGAAAGTCGGCTCCCGGGTCGAGAGAGATCGTCACGCTTGCTCGTTACATATAAACGATGTAATTCGGCAAAATTACAGGGAACGACGATGGTATGCCTTTGTTGGGTGTTGCAAGCGAGTGACTTTCGTTATGGGTGAACTATACTTTATTAGCACCGTTACAATCGCGAAAATCGATTGGTCACGAAACTGCGTCCAAACGCGTTCAATATCGCGCATGTGATCGATTAAAAGAAACGTGAACACTGACGAACATTGTTCTACGACCTACGAGATAGAGCAGGCATCGCGAGAGAAAGAGAAAGAGAGAGAAAGAAAAAGAAATAAAGTCTCAACACTAAATTTATCTCCTCGCGAAAATTTATTACGCATTCGATCGAGACATGCGGTCGCTCGATGAGCAAATCCCGCGTTATTCAACGCGCTGCGTGTGTCGAGTAATGATAGTTAATGGTCTGGGAAGTTCATGCGGAGAAAAGGAGAAAGAGATTTCTTCCATCACAGCCGTGAAACACACGTGCGTACGAAAATAAATCGAGATGCGCATATTACATTTATAAACATCCAGGATAGCCGAGAGATGCGAGTTATATAATACATGTAAATGTGCGCAGTGACTTTGCTATTTTGTTCAACCGTGACGCAATATATATCCCCTTCAATAAGAGCAGATCATTCAAGAAAAGCGCGTGCGATTGCTTCTTTAGCTTTCTCGGAGAGAAAGAGAGAGAGAAAGAAGAGAAAAAGAGAGAAAGAGAAAGAAAGAAAGATAATAAATGCCATAGTATTATAATAATCATCAAAGTACACATTTCTGTTCATATTTACATATAAACTAATCGTATCGTAAACCAAATATATCGAATTGTTGCACATTATATTTATTTTTAACTCTCAAAATATGAAAATCGCTTTAAAAAAACTATTATATTAATTCGCCTGACATATGATCAGCTTCTGCCGTATTTCTTTTGAATGCGATGCTATCATGCGGAATAAAATTGTACGCGTATATATTTTAACGTCTCGTCTTGATTATGCAAGTTATCCTTCTTGCGCGTGTTACGATTTGAGATTCATGACTCGACACTAGTATCAATCTCGGTTACGAACATCTGTTCGGCAATTTGGAAAAAAATAATGAGGATTTTGATGTTGACGACATATTAATTATCAAATGATAGCGTTACGTCAAACACTTCCCATAGTAGTAGATGTAATTCGAAACACGATACACGCTTGTAATCGGTTGCGAAATCGCGATTTTATATGGTAATTTTATGCAAGCGCGAAATTCGATCGATTTTTGTTAATAAGATTTCACGCTTTCGTTGCGCCATTAATAAATTTTTACGCGGCGATTTTATCGCGCTCAATTAGAGAAATCTCGAGAATAGAGAAACGGCACGGCTGGCTGAGACAGAAAATAATGGTTATTGCATTGTGTGCACTTTTGTGGTTACCGTACTACCCTCCGTTTCTCTGCGAAAAATCCATCGTGAAAACGTGTCGATATAGTGTATTATGATTGCGATTTGGCGATACTAATTAATATGTGTGTGTTAATGCACAGTGCATGTTAATAAAACTTATTAAGTTTGAATATAAATTTCTAAAAAATCAGAAAATATGTAATATCTTTATAATGTTATCTTAACTTTTCATAAACTACGAAATGCATAACATTATTTGACATATTTTCTCGGCCGCAAAAGAAATACCGAAATCCTTTCTATAGCTTCATGTATGCCAATATCACCGCTTGTTTGCACAGGAAAATGATCGCCGACATAATATTGATATTGTCAATAGCGTAATCTAAAGTTCATCTTTCCAAGTCTGTGCTTCCATAGCAAAATTTGATCTCAAAGAAAGAAATTTCGAGAAAAATCGAAAAAAGACAAAAATGTCGAATGTGGCTGATCTTTCGTGATAATCAAATAATAAAAATGTTTCAATATTTAATGAGTACAGAGCGCAAATCGTAATATTATTGATAGAAGTCAATTGTTTCAGCTTGTAATATCTTACTGTTAGACAGATCGCTCTCTAATTACAGTGTTTATTGTATAATTTTATTATCTTTTATTGATCGCATATTTCACGAAATAAAAACGCAATGAAAATAATGATTTCCTGAAGACATAATTCTTGTTAACATCGTTTTATACTCATATTAACTGGATTACCTTCTCAATGAATTTTCGATTAATTAAATAAATATACAATTATAACATCTTATCATAGAAGTTTAATTATACGTGCACTTTATCTTTTCTTGTTATATTCATTTATAATTTTTTTTTTTTTTAATTTTTATCCCGCGAATAATTATATTATTTCATATAATACAATTGTTGTAAATAAATACTAAAGGCAATAATAGCATATAAAAGCGATCAATATATCTGAGTCTATTATTACGTGCAATTAGAAATAATTGATCATAGCTAAATTGCACATTAATTCTTGTACGTGCGAAATAGTAATAAATCTGAGGTTAGCCGAGCAGCCAAGAGTAAATTGCCATGATATCGATCCGAAATACAGAGGTAAACCATGAAGAGTGAAAAAAAAAGAATAGATTATAAAAAACTAGTATAATGAACGGTTCTAATTGGCTTGCATTTCAAATGTAATCCACGGTATTTTTGCATAGTCATATTAAAGTTATGGCTAAATCTACCAAACTTGGAGCTTCAATGAATCTTGCAATTACGCGACGTATAACATACAAATAGATTTCAAATAATATCATTAACAATTCGAAAACCGATGTATAATGTATCATATATTTAATGTATCTGTGAGTCGCGGATAGTTCGGGTTATTCTGGAAAATGTCAAAATCGTTTTTGCATACTTTAATTTGTATAGCTGATCCATTATTTCTGATACATTTATAATACAATTGCCAACGTGTATGTGTGTGCATTTCTCGATCAATTTAATATACACACACATATTGCTTTTTTCTACCTACTTAGTCAGACCAGTCAAATGCACTAACCGGATCCTACATTAACCACAAACCACAATTTTATATTCAACTTGACCGTTTAATCTCAAAGTGCAGAAAATGGTCGCAATGTCTGGAAGTCCCTTCCCCCGCCCCCCGTTCGGTCTGCGTCGCTTTTCCTAATTACGCTAGTAACAATAATATATCGATTCGCGGGAAAGTTGCAGCTGATAGATAAGTAATATCCTCGCACAAATAGTCTAATATAATTCAATGAGGTTGTTACCTTAATACCTCTTTCGTAATATCGAAGATAAATTCGTAGAATTCTTATAAAGTGCGCCGCAAAAAATGTGGTTAAACTTATCGTTAAAGTAATAATCTCTATTGTCCGGCGAGACCATAAATTTAACTTTCATCGCAAATGGAATATCTGCAGTAAACTGTATATCATGTAATAAAAACAAAAAATCAAATTCATTTTATCGTCATTCAAGAGTTGATTGAAAGCGAAACACCGGATCGACCTTTTTCTTCGTCATAATTGCAAATAATTTCGCTGTAATACAAATGTAAATAAAATAATCTTCTAGTTTGATAATTGCATAGAAACGAATAGAAAAAAAAATATATATATATATTAATAAAAATGTTAAGATCTATTTTTTTATTAATTGTCACATAATCAGTAATTCAATCGGCATAAGAAAAAAGAATTTGAAGAATGATCAGTCGAGTCTAAAACCACAAGTGTGTTTTATAAGAGCACGCATTGATCTTTTCTTCTTTCGTCGTGTCAGTTACTCGTGCGTTGTTTCATTTAAGCTTTGAAAGCTTTCCTACCTAAGATCGGAAAAATCGTGATCGTGTGTCGTAATATCATCGCCGTACGGCACGTCCAACAGTGCTGTTCGCAATGCAATAACCGCGATTACGCATTACCTGACTATGAGCACTTCCTTGATACAGGATCGCGTTTATGCATCGCTACCGGCGCAATGTGTGTGTGTGTAAAAGTGCATCGACTTTCGCGCGCGGTCTACCTACTTACCTAGCTACTTTTGCCGGTCGCCTCACGTGAGCGCGATTTTCCTCTGCGAGGCTTTTTGTTCTCCTTGTCTGGGATATAAACGCGAGGGAAATTGCGCCGTCACGATTCAGTTTCCCGTAACGTTAACTACTTTGCCGTGTAATGTTGCACTTGGCAAAAATATAACCCGGTTGAATATTATACCGCGATGCGTGCACACAATGATATGCAGATTAATACGTTTCTGCAAGTTGCGAAACAATGGGCAAGATTGCCTTAGATTCATTTAAACGATTTAACTAAAAGATACCACTCTTTTTAATACTTGAATTATAAAAGCTGTGCTGCATGTGAGAATTAAAAAGAGAGATATATGTTCTCATAATGAATAACTCGCAAAGTATCGATCCATAAATACCTAGGAAGGGAAAGCAAAAGCTACGTAATCACATTATTGAATGTTAGTATATGTGTGAAATGGCGCACTATCTTGCTAATCAAATAATATAAAATTCGGTGTATATACGTGTAGTGTGGCAAATCATATATGCATTATATTATTATTACTATAACTTTATTACTATAACTATAACTCAATTTCTCTCTTTCTTTCTCTATTTTGTTTTTTTATATAATTATATAAAATCTCACATAGCGCACGTGCGCATAGTAGCATTATGCAATATATTCTTTCATTTCTGTGCTATAAAAAAGTGGAGCAACGTGAAATTATAGATCAATCGTGATAAGGCAGAAAGCAGATTGCTTATTAAATAACGAAATATGAAAAGAAATAGCTTGATATTTTTTATGATAATTGTATATAAGAATTCTGTTTCTCACAAATTAAAGAAAACAACTTGTATCCTGTCGAGAGTTAAGCTTTGTTATAAGGCATATCTCCTTAATCCGGATTTGCGACATCACGATAATTTTAGATGCAATAACGTAAAAAAGTTTCCGCGAGAGATATTTCTTAACTAACGTCTCCAGCTGGAAAGTGACCATCGTTTTTATCATCACATACGCGTTGAGATAGTAATTAAAATCCTATACATAATATAACACTAATGCATTTTATATCTTTATATGATCGCACAAAGTTTATCCCTGTCCTGTACATGATGTTCAATACAAACGGTTCCACACGAATAACCGTAAAAATTGTTTTTATTAACAATGTTTATATTTTAGTACGCGTAATCAGCTAAGAGATCAGATAATTTCACAGTCAAAATAACCGTAAACGAGCATATTATCTACAAAATTTTTATTTACCGAATTATTCATTAGGTACAACCCACACATCGGAGTTTTATTTATTATTATTATTATTTTATATATATATATATAAAACAAAGAAATATTTCAAAGGAAAAACATCTATATAATGAAAGAATAAATATTTTCTTAGCCTAAAGATTTAGAGTTTTGTAGTGTGTTCTTTATTATTCTACATATCATTATATATTATTTACGCACGTATATATACAGTATATATATAATATAGATTTATATATAAGAATTCTTGAGAGATATATTTCCCAGAATACATTTATTAATATTAAAATTAAAATTTAATTACATTTAAACTAACCAGGTTGAGTATCAGGATTTGTATCAGATTTTGTATCAGCAACAGCTTCTGCCAGTTCGGTAGATTCAGTAATTTCAGAAGTAATAACTTTCTGTGCATCATTATCTGTATATTCTTGATGAGAAGAAATACTTTCATCTTGCACTAACATTTCTTTTGCATTAATATCGCTATTAGAATTAATAGTTTCAGAAGTTTCAGAATTATTTTGCGTTGTATTATTATTATTGTTAGTTGTGCTAACATTGCTAACATTTGCATTCATTGCACGCTTCAAAGCCAAATATTCTTCTACTGATCCTGTTGGAATTTTTTCAGATGTAGCAGTTGTATCAGTTGAAGAGGATTGTGAAGACGAATTCAAATTTGGCGATTTATTCAACTTAGATAATCTTTGACGTTCTCTCAATCGCTTTCGAATCTCAGACTGTATCTTAGATTCTTTTATTACATTCTGAACATCGTCAGTTTGATAATAGCGTGATGCCCAAGTTTCCATTGAATCTGATTTCGGCAAAGTTGCGCCAGATGCAGATTGCTTATGTTCTTCTTGAGAAGGAACAATAACTTCATCTTGACTCTCATCACAATTTTCTATATCCATAACATCACAATAATCATCTAAATCAATTATCTCATCCAAATCTGCCGATTTCTCTTCTTCAATTATACTCTCTTTCGGTATTTCTTTCGTCTTACTCTTTTCTTCCGTGATAATTGTATTTTCTTCAGAAAGGCTTAATTGTTCTGTAGTATTTACATCCTGTACATCATCTGATCGTTCTATAATCTCGGTATTAATCTGTTTTGATTTTGAAGTGTTTTCGCTGGTAGAAGTAAGCTGTAATTTTGTATGTGACTTTTTCTTCGATTTTTTGCGTCTCTCCGCAACGTTATCTGCAGAAATTGATATTGATAATGTATTGTTCTTTATATCAACATTTCTATCAGGCATTATTGTTCTTGTTTCGCTACTTAAATTTGTTTTGGTTACAATATTTGTATTATCGTGTGCCCCTGTTACTTGAGTTTCTAGAGTTTTGCTAGAATTCTTCGCGTTTTCAATGGAATTACTTGCAGATTTTCCAGTTTCCGTTGCACGTTCATTTTTCAATTTTTGACTTACTCGTGTTTCGTCATGAATTTGCCCATCACTATCACTAGATAATAATTCGACAACTGGGGTAGGTTGAATTACTAAAACAACATCTTCATCTTCGCCTTTACTTTGTTGAGCACTGATAATTTGTTCTAACTGCTTGCGACAATTTTCTTTAGCCTTATCATCGTCGTGTCGTGTTCTAATGTTATTCTCTATTGCTTGACTGTCATTTATTTCTGATGGATTAGTGGATGGAATTATGTCCTCCTCTTTTCGTATTAAAGCTCTTATAGCACGAGCTCGCATTTCTAATTCTAATAAATCTAACAAACTGTCTCCTTCTTTTCCTTTATCTTCCTTATCATCTTCTTTTTTAATTTTAACATGCTTATTAGTTTTATCACGATTTTCATTTTTAATATTACATTTCGCTTTAGAATTAGACTTATCTGGATCATTTTTCTTAATATGTAGTTTTCTTTTAATATTTGTTTTATCTCGTTTTATTAACTTTCCCTGTTTACCATTTTCCTTTTTAGATGTATCGTCATCTGTCAACCATTCTTCTGTATCAGAAATAATTTCTAGAGAAGGTCCTATTGAAAGAAAGATACAATAACTAGATTAGCATTATTTTTAAAGCTTAATGCCTTCTATATATACAATATTCAATATGCACATACCTGAATCATCTGATTCGCTTGTGTCTGAAGATTCCAACATAGGTTTGCCATTTAATTTCGATAATATTCGAGCTTTAGACATACCATTTAACTCATTCGCACAGTATTCTTCTAGTTCACTTAAATTTACATGCTGTATATAAACAAAAAATAACATACTATATTTTTAAATATATTTTTATATTAAAACTATATCAATTTATAAATTTGCTACAATTTACTTTCAAAACTTGAGGCAGCATCATACGAATCTTTTCTGGCTTAACAGATTTGAAAAGTTGTTGGGCTAATTCTTTACGATTTGATAAATAATTCTTAATTGGTTTTAAATCTCTTGTATCAATTTCATCTTCATCTGATGATAATGATGATGATGTACAAGAAGATAAGCTGCTGTGTTCCTTAAAAAAAAAGAATTGTCTTCTAAGCATTGTATAGTAAAAATCTTTTATTGGAAAAAATTTTTATATAATTTAAAAAATAAGATATTCAAAATATAATTATTAATGATTACCTCACTGCTGCGTATATTGTTTCTAGTTTTGGACATATTTATTTAATGTAATAATCCTTTCCATCTGAGCAATAACACACCGAATATTTTATCCAAACAAATCGAAGGAATGTCAAAACAACTTTCCTTTTATATTTTCATCTAAAAAAATATAGATTAAGAAATCTTTTTATACACATTTTATTACAACAGTATATTTTTACATTTTCTCTGTTGTCTAAAATAAAGATATGTTGATATAAAAAAATGAAGGAAAAACGAAAATCATATGCAGAAAACTGTATAAAAAATGCAATTTAGTAAAGGAAATAATTAAGTAAATAATTTATAATTTACATTTTAGGTTAGAAGCACCATGTTGTATTGAAGTATACGAAGCTAAAAACTTTACACCACAAATTTATATCTATTTCCTCTTTATCTGTATGATAAAGTCTATTTAACAGCAGCTGATAGCCTACTACTACATACTACTGTATTGCACGTACACATTCATTCAAACACACGACGTATTACGTATTATTAATTGGACTTCTATTTACAATACAATAGCAATATAAGACGAATAAAGATTTTCTGATTCTGGAAACGTCGTGCAGGTGTCGTTAGATGCCAATGCTCGCGTTACATTATAACCTGTATTGTTGACAACTATTTGTCAACAAGATGACATTAATCGAATATAATTACTAAACGTCTAATTGCAGTAAGTACTATTAATTTAATAAAAATGTTTTATGATAAGGATAGATATCATGTTAGATATCAGATATTTAATCTAAGAATTTATCTTTGACACAGGCATTTTGACAGATAATCATATTGATCTGTCTAAGAGATCAATCAGCTGTGAGATTTATACATATCGTTAGATACAAAATATTTATGAAATTTTTGTACTATGCTGAATAAATGTAATATATGATTACACTATCTGTCAAATTTAGTGTCAATTGAAACTTTGTGTAGTTCTGCATAATAAAAGAAAAATGTTGAATCGCTTTAAATCAGCGTTAATGAGTGCTGTGGGCGCAAGCGAGCTAGGCCTACAGTACCCTAATGATTCGGATAATGATATGATGACAGATTATATTAACTCTAATTATGTCATGGAAGTAGAAAACAAGCCTTATAGTCGTCCAAGTTTTCTAGGCTTGACAGCTGAAGAGACACAGGTATTTCTAGTTTCTTTTCATACTGCATCATGTGTGAATACCTTTGTAAATATAGATAAAAAGATACTAATAAATTGTAATACTGATATTTGTCTAAACTATCCATAAAATATTTATTTTATATAGGTGAGTGCAGATCACAGAGTAAGGCCTATAATAGTTCCAAGGGATCTTAGTCGTTTGCCATGGTGTGCTGGCTATGCAGAATGTATAAATGCTGGAAAGAGTACTTGGAATGAGGACCAAGCTTCTGCGACACGCGGAGATCTAAAATTGTCAGATGTTAATGTCACACTGCCTTATGTTATGTTTTCAATGTTTGATGGCCATGCAGGGTATCAAGTTGCTCTTACAGCAAGATTACAGTTACATAGAATAATTCTTGTATGTGCTCTCTTCCAGAAAATTCTATTGTCAGATAATATTATAGAAAATGAATTAATAAACTATTTGAAAATAGGAAAGGTTACTGGCTATACCAGCTAATATGCTACTGAATGAAGATGGAAACGAGCTGATTAAGGGCAGAGACCTAGTTACAGGTGCTATAGAATTAGCATATAGACAAATGGATCAAATGGTAGATGTGCAAGCTCAAAATGGTGGCGGTGGTTGTACAGCTATTACAATTTTATTTCTTAATGGAAGGCTATATGCAGCAGGAGCTGGTGATTCAAGGTTGTATTATAATTTATAGATAATGAGTTGATATATAAAATTAAATGTTTATGTAACTATTTCTATATTATTAGGGCTGTGTTAGTTTTGGGGGAAGAACAACGTGCTCTCACCAGAGATCATACTCCAGATTCTGAATCAAATCGTGTCAGAGCTTTAGGCTTTCTAAGAAGCAATGAGTTGCTCAAAGGCCATTTTACTCCATTGGAATTTAGAAAAAGACCATTACAAAAGGAATTGGGATCTATGGTTTTGTATCGAGAACCTTTTATGACAGGTTGGGCGTATAAAACTTTAACACATCCAGATTTAAAATTACCGCTCATTTCAGGACATGGAAAAAGGGTACGTTATCATTAATATTAATTTACAGCTCTTCAAATTAAAGTAATTTTGTTTATGGTACTATGAGAAATCGTTTGTAATATGTAGAGTAGAGTAATGGGAACAATAGGTGTAACTAGAGGTTTTGGAGATCACGGTTTAAAAGCAGCGAACACTGGTGTTAATATCAAACCATTTCTATCGTCACAACCTGAAATACAGTCTCTAGACTTGGACAGTTGCAATCTTACCGAAAGAGATTGCATTATTGTTGCCACGGATGGGCTCTGGGATGTAGTATCGGATAAAACAGCGGCAGCAATACTTAGAAAGACACTTGCACCTGATACTCCATCATTAGAATACAGGTATCTTTTATTTTGTGGACTAAACTTTAACTAAACTGTACCGATAAAGTATGATACAAGTTCTTTTCGATTTATAGACTGACAATGGGTGCTCAAGAATTAGTGCAAGCGGCGAGAGGTCGCTTAATCGGCAGAGTGTGGATGGGAAAACCCGAAAATCCTAACGAAACAGACGAGAAATCCTCACCTATAGCATCGGTAGACGATATTAGTGTATTAGTAGTACCTTTATATCCTTATTTATGTGAACATAAACAGTGGCTAAAAACGACGCAACAAGAACGAAAATATGCTGCGGATTCTCTAACAACAATATGCTTTGATTATCCTATATCTAACAGATCAACTGATAATCCTGCATAATGAATCATACGATTATCCAATCAGATCTGATTTCATCTAATTTACAATGTGAAATAAGAAAACGATGTTATTATCTAATGTGCAGCTTATGAATTTTATTCACATTACTACAATAACTCATCATAAATTCGTGATTGCTTATTTAGTCTTAGAATAATTAGCAATATTTAAGTGCACAAGTGCCGCATATATATTTCATAGTTCTCTTTTTGAAATATTAAATTGTTGCATACTGCCACTGCATATATTTTAACTACAAAAGGCTATGTTTTTATTATTTAAACAAACATTCCGTTATGATACCTATTTTACATTTACAATATCTTGAAATGTTTGGAATGAAAGTTTAAGCATCTCATATATAAATACCAATTTCTAGACTGTCACTTTAGTAATTAATAATGTAGATTGTAGGCAATGTAATTTTAACAAAATATCGAAATATTTTTTATATTGCTTTTGAGGCAAATATGTGTTACCATTCGACATTTTGAACGCTTTACGATGTCTTATCATATTCATTTTTATGTTAAAAATATTAATCCTATGGTTGCTCAAAAACGTGTATATATATACATACATATGTGTGCTGACAATGAGATTGAGAACTTTGTAGGAAAAACAAGTAAAATTTTAAATATACAATAAATTGAAACTTTTTCCGTTAATTTATCGTTATTCGTATTGATTAATTGTAATGCATTTTGATTTTATTTATTGGTAATTTTGCAAAGTAATTTTAGCATAATGCAGCCAAAGGGTTAACAAATAATTGTAAGTATGACATACATAATCAATATGCGTATGTGTGTGTAAGAAATTGTATATAGGGAGCCTATATAGTTAGATTAACTCTCTTGTAGTTATATTAAATAAATATTACAAACACATTATTCTTTCGTATAGAAATATTTATATAGAGTTTCTGTTAAATATTAATATTGAAAGGAATTTTTATTAATCATGAATTTTTAGCCAGTGTTTCGAGAAATGTGTGTCTTTCATACATTTTAGTTTTAATTTACTTCCAGTATTTATTGCAAGATCGTAAAAAAATTTGTTTATTCAACAGAAATTGGGATATGTATTTTATATCTTGAGTGTGGGATGGCGCTGCAGGTACTAAATTAGCGTTTCCCAGCAATGACAATTACACAACCAACAAATCAAGTTTTAATATCAAATAATTTGGCCGTCTATTTAATTTTGCCAAGAAAAAGGGATTGATTCAGAATTCTTCACGATATATTGTCGTGTGAAAAAGTTACACTAAAAAAATTATTAATCATATAAATTTATTAAATATTGCGTTCGATTTATAAGCCTTTTAAAGAATAATACATTTTCTATGCAAAGAGAGATTCAGAAATATTTTAAAAAATGTTTCGAAAAGAGAGAAATATATAAAATGCTTTTATCATGTTCAAAATAGATTCACATACAAAGTCTCAGCGTTGTCGAGCTTCGCTTAAATGAGTTGCCCTTCTGTGCGATGTTAAATGGCGAACTTTTGCGATGTGCGTGCAGGCACGCACGTGGACATGTTTTATACGTTTCCAGGGCAAGTGCATTTCCTCGTCGCATGGCTGGCACATAGAGTCCGAAGCACAGTTAACTCTCATAAATTTAATTACGAGGCGCAACCAAATAGGAGAGACCGGCCTCTCTTTTTGCCAGTAAAATCGTAATTAGTCTCGACGCTGTGATTATCTCGAAATTATTTATCGATGAATTCCACGAACTATAAATTATCAACGCGCGGCAGGACATATATCTGAGAGATAAACTTTCATCAGATATAAATCAAATAATAACACCAAACAATCGAGTGATAATATTAATATGTACATACATACTTATCCCGCGTCGCGAGATATTTCTCGAAATATTTTAATATGGAAATAAATATTTTATTATGTATAATCTCTTGTCATATTGCAACAAAATTATTTATTAACAATAAACAAATCTCTGTAGAAATTATGAAGACTCTACATTTTTATGAAATTTTTTTGTTTGATATATATTTTAATTGCTTAATGTCAATTATATCATCATAGTAATTAGGAAAATGTTATTGGTACATCGCGCTTCATTAACGTGAAAGAGCAACTGAAACATAAGCGGAATGCTTGGTAGCGCGATGTTTTATTCCATTACGGATTAAACGGTCGGGGAACTGAAAGACGTTACGCAGCAAATTCCTGTCAACCGACGACGATGAAGTCGGAGATGAATTGTAATGCGCCATGCATTTCCGTCAACTAAGAACGACAGCATAAAAGGGTGCTGGGATAGAGTGTCGCAAATCACTGTACGAAAAAGTGCTCGTCTACGAAAGTATAGACAAGCGTTGTGAAAAAACTAAACCTAGTTTGACAGCTCCCCGTTGGCTCGCCATCGATCGATTCCCAATTTTGTGAAAATTGCTGTGCACTGAGCTGATGGCTATCGAATCTCGTCTTTCCTACGCAATGCATCATCGTTTTTAAAGCTTCCAATCAATGATAAGAATATATTACCTATGAATATGTCTCTGCTAATTTTCAAGTAATATAATCAGATTTTAGTTTTACTTGTATATAATACTTAATAAAATATGCATATATACAAAAGTTTCACAAAAAATTAATATTTTATATAGTAAAAGATATATTCTCTCTCTTTTCTCTTTGTCACAATAAGAGAATTTTTAATTATCTACTTTAATATAGTATTGAGAAGAGATTTCAATTTTATTTATATCTTGATAAATGGATTAATCATACTCGATAGTTTTATCATAAAGTTTCTATATGTTATCTCAGAAACGTATAATGTACACCGGGTATTTGATCGAAAAATGGGATGCACTACTTTTGAACGGTCGTCTGATCGCCGATATGTTTTTCATGGCGCCGGATTATGACGGGCGATCTGTCACGGTCATCGTAACGGTAACTCCAAGGGGCTGGAAAGGGCTTAATGCCTCTCCTGCTAGGGATAGCGCAAGAAAGAATGTGCGTGTGGAGAAGGATGAGGAAGGAGAGTACGTTATACCATATCAAAATGGCCACGACTTAGGGGTCCTGTGTTACCCCGATATATCATCGTTAGAGAACTTTGGACGGCTTCCTGGTTCCAGCATTGATGGCTTCCTCCGATACGAAATGATGTATCTGTTCCTCATTGCAGCGTGGAAATGAGAATCGGATGCAATTTGAAAGTAAAAGTATCGTCTAAAACGATAACAAAAAGTTTCACGACTGCTTACCTATCCGTCTTCTGGCTCACATTTCGGCATAAGAATTTTATTTAAATTAAAAAGGGGTAAATTATATGCAATGCCAACTTGCTATCTCTATATAGAAATCTGTTTGAGAATAATTTACATCAAAGATATATAATGCTATTAACAAACAATTTTTCACACTGGCATTGCAATTAGAATAAAATTAGAATAATAAATTATTGATAAGATTAGAAAATTAAATTAGAAAATAATTCATAACAGCAATATATGATGTCTAGATAGCTTAATACGTTCATCAAATGTTGTTTTAATTTTATTGAGCTTTTTTGCATATCTATGTAAAAATTATGACATCAAGATTAGTGACATTCTGTCTGCATGTTTTTCTTGAAATACGCATCGTAAATTGTACAATTGTATACTGTAGACATGTCGTTATTGATTATCGGCTATCGCATGCTTCTTGTCAACTCTCTTAGCTTGCATGAACCTAATGTCGATCTGCTGCAAGCTAATGTTTGGCTGCCGAACGGATAATGCAGCAAGTTTGCTACCGAGGGATTACGTCACCAGCTCTCACAGTTTCAGCTTCCAAACATAGATACATATTATCTATATGTCTCGGCAAAGTGACGCGTTATACTTCTCATCGTCAGGTATTCAGACAACGATGCTAAATTTTCACTTATTGCTTACGCGCAGCTAAGAAATTTCAATTTGCTATTCAAAGCAATTTGCCGATTAAATTCGCTTGCATATACATAGCTTCGTAAACGTGTCTTGATGAAATGATATACGGAATATTGCAAGAGAGTGTGGTAAACCAAGAAAACATTCTATACTAGTTTTGGATATTAAATGACAATTGAACAGTGCTGTAAGATATTAAAGTATATTACTTAGCAGATGTTATTAATGACAACATTTCTGCAAAACAAATTTCTAGAAAAAAAATGATTACTAAAAGGAAGAAATAAATGGAGCAATCCCGAATTTTGCATTCGCTATCGGAAAAATAATTTAGGCAAATATATTTAATTTGATTTAATAATATTCGGGGAATTAAAAAGCGATAAATTAAACTTGATCGATTAAAAGTTAGAGATTGTGGAAGATAATAAGGATCATGAAGGAAGTTAAGAACGAAAGCATTTCTCCTGCCTTTTTGTCTCGCCCGACTCGTGAGAGCTTTTTGTCGTCATTAGCCATTTTTTTTTCTCGAGATGGTGCCCAGCCTGCAAAGTATAAAAACGGGTCGTCCGACTATCTGACGGGTATTTCCTCAGAAATTTATATTAACTGCGCGAACGGACAGATAGAATGATTACGTGCACATCGGCACGCATACGTTCATATATATTCGCGTGTTGAAAACGACTACATTGAGTTTAATTAAGTTTTTCTCTATAAGTCCCTTATATAATGTCATGCAGATAATCGCAAGTTCTCTTTGAGAACGACGATTCTCGCGTATACGGCGCTGACGTTGAACATGAAATGAGAATTTCGGATAAAGAAAATGAATCAATTATAGATAATAATTGTAAAATACCTATAAATCAAGTACCGATGCGTAATTCTAATATATTCTCCGAATATAATCAGAATTGCGAAACCTGGCAACTGAAAGTAATAATGGAGATGGCCGTCACTTCGTCCGAATAATTATCATCGTATTTTCAGTCGTTTTCACGACGCATGCGATATCAACTTTTCCTAAATACATTATCTAGATTTCGCATCGGCGTTAATCTGTCTAGCAGTAAGTAATTAAATTTCTGCGAATGCCATTTCCGCGGAGAGTTTATCTAGAACGGCTAAAAATTCTGACTTTTAGTTGCCAGCT